GATTTTGTTCCACATTGGGGACAGATCCTCAGATCTTGCAGGGCCTCGCCGGCCATGGGCTTGGCAAGTGCCATGGCGCCGAATTGCTGCTGCCACTCAAAATGGTATTTTCAATTGTTTGCCTAATCCTTTGCGTTCTGTCTAGCTTCCTGCCCGGGAGCTGCGGGACTTGCAACGTTTGCTGCTTGCATCCAAGACCTCTTGAAAGATGATCAGCAACATGCAGCACGCTGCTTCAATGCCAAGTGCTTTCAAGACAAATTCCTTCCATGCAGAATGTGCGCCCACGCCTCAAACACGATAGGCAACAGTGCATGCAGCCGCCCGCTGCCCAAACCTCAGGATCAACACATCAGAGTCCTGTGAAGACATGGGATCTCCCACAACTGCGACAAGCATGACTCTGGCATGAACAGCAACGCATCCTACCAAGGAGCATCAACTGCATCCTACCAAGGAGCAAATTATACACCGCTGCACTCACCAACTGCATCCTACCAAGGAGCAAATTATACACCACTGCATGTGCGCAGGTGAGCCATCTGTCTCATCAGTCACTCTGGAGTATCTGAGGCCCTGGCAACACGAAAGCTAGCTCCACACTCTCACTTCTGAGGCCCTGGCAAAACAAGCAAACCGGCACAAATGGCCAAAATTGCTGCAGCAACTCACGCTTCAAAAATCCAAGAAAACCTTGCATGCAACCAAAATCAAGCAAATGGACTGAACACTTGCATACATGCATAGCAAGAAAACCTTTTCTGCCCACAAAGCGACAAAGGCCTCTCAGTTCAAAGTCTTTGCTGCCTTCGGCTTCTGCTTCGCCAAATGATCTCTGCATGCTCCAACGCAAGCACACCAAGCATCTGCCGGCTTGTCATAGAGACTCCAAGAAAACTGAACTCTGCATTTTTCAGGCTTCTTCACGAAAAAGCCCTTGCTTCTACACAGGACGTCGATGGAAATAGCTCCATCATCAAGCTTCACTGTGTACGAATGCTGCCCCTTGCAGCCCTCTGGAGGCTGTGCTTCCACAGACAAACCAGTGATGTCATGCACTCCAAACAAAATCTTCTTGGAAGCTGAGGAAGTCTCAGCAGGAATAGGCTCTGCTGCAAGGCTCTCCACAGGGCCAGCTTCCTGCCCGGGATTGCCTTCAAAATCTGCTGCAGCTTTTTCAGGGGCTGATGCAGCAACAGAGCCCTTGGTCGACTTGCCCTTGCCTTTGCCCTTGCCCTTGCCAGTGGCTCGAACCCTCTTGAGCTTGGGCCCTGACTCTGCAGCCTGCGGAGCAAGCCACAAGTTGGGCACTTCAGATGGAAAGGGCTCCTCATCTTCGAATCTAACCAAGCAAAAACCGGCAGGCCCCTTTTCCAACACTCCCCTCGACACCTTGCCCTCTTCAGCCAACCGGATGTAGCACCCTTCTGCTGGGTCAAAATAAGGCTTCGCTGTGCCCGGCTTTTTCTGGAAAGCTTCTGTTTCTGAAGATGACTCCACTGCGCTTGGCGACTCAGATATGGAAATAGCATCTTGAGAGGATCCTGTCATGGCAACATTGGCATCCATGCTCTTTGCATTGGCGCTGCCCGCTGCATATATAGCAAGGATTTCATCTTCGGTCTTGGATGGTGCGCCGAACTCAAGCTTTCTCTTAAGAGCCACCTCCTCCTCAACAGAAGGTCGACTACCTTCGAGATCAAGAGATCTGCGAGAGCTGGGGCTAGAGCTGCTGGCAGAAAGAGTCTTCAGCCTCTGCACAAACTGCAGGCTCCAATTTCTTTCCACTGGAACAGCTTTGGATTTTGCTTCGAGCAAACTTGAACGCATTGCAGATACTTTTGGAAATAGCCTTGGCTTCGTCCACACCAATCTGATAGGCCATACTCAGACCCTGCTGCACTTCCTTCTGTCCTGGCCTGACG